AATGTAACATGGCTCTTTGCATCATCCAATGGTGAACACTTTTGGTGAACACTTCCATTTGAAAAACAAAAAATAATTATGGGAGAAATATCTTGAAAAAAGTATTTTTGTTTTCCAGCTTTTTTTTCCAGATTTTTCTCTTGTATATATTTGGCTATGCACCCAGTGCCAGTCAGGTGATCCTGCTTTTTAACAAGCTAAAATATTGCTAATTAGCCATGCTAATAAGCCACCTGTACCGCTACCATGTTTCTGGCCATTTGCTATCACCACTACTGGAACTATCACACTCCTGGCCAGATTTCTCAGCCTTGGTGTCACCTTTATCACCACAAATGGCTTCAGCTTCCTCTGCCAATACCACATGTAGCCCTTTGGCACTGAGGTCTATTTTGGACTCTAGGTCAAAGTCAGCATCCTCTGGCGCTTTGATACTTTCCCGCACATCATCTAACCAAGTGCTAGCCTGAGACTTGCTATCCTCAATCTCTTCATCTTCATCTTGGCATTCTGTTAACAGTAAGCTGTTCATTGTTTCATGGTGTCGCTTCACTACCTTTTGCTTAGGTGTAAGCAGGTATGCATCAAGGCTGTAAAACTTGACTGTTGGCCGCTCTGGAGGTTTGGCCTACTTTTATGTGAACAAAAACAACAGTCAAAGGGTGCATAAATTGATCACTCACTGAGACATTATACATGTACCATTGTCAGATCTGTGTCATGTCCACCAAAGTGCATACATCCTGTTAATTTTGCAGTGGCATGTTCATTTGGGTAAATACAGACATAGTACGCTCTTCTGGCATTGAGCTTGGCCGAATGGAGAATATAATATTTTTACAGCCAGAGTCTGTATATCTGTAGATGAGCCTGGTTTTTGTGGATTCAAACTTGGACTTACTGCAAAAACACTCCCTTCGGGAATTCTTGTCAAGTGTGTCCACCATGATAGTGGTGATTGACCATCTTCAGGTAGGGCTTCAAAAGGGTACTGACCAGGAGCATAACATTCAAATTGTCAGAGAAAAAACTGCTATGCTTCATGACCAGTTAATTTTTTCAGAACATTATTCTCCTTTGTCTTCCATTCGGCCTCAAGAAGACCTTTTAGAAACACAAGCACACGTGCAAAAACAGCATAGTTATGGATGGGTGGTCCTGAGGCCTCCAACATCAAAGTCTTTGCATGTTGTGTAGGAATCACTATAATAAGTGTGAGTGGATTCAAGTTCTTCTGGAAGATTCTGCTATGAACATAACCTAGAAAATACAAATTTGTTAGTATTCAAGATTTAATTTGCTGTACTTACAAGGATTCAAGTCAAAAGCAGATATAGGAGCATCAGTGGGACCATCTGATAACATTCCATGAAATTGAGTATTGAATATGGCACAAATCTGACCAGATTTTTCCACCGAAAAGGGATTGTTGTCATCATCAAATATTTGCTTTATTGTGGCCCCAATTGTGAAGTAAAACAAGTAAATGTCTGAAAAGTCAATTCGCAATGACTTGAGGCAAGCAATTGCCTTTGCAATGGGAGTGACAACAAGTGTGTAACAATGTATTTGAAGTTCAAACTCCAAGGAGCGAGGGGAGCTGCTTTGGAGAAGGCCTGTAAGGTGTGACTTCTTTGCGGGAAACTTTACTTGCTTTGAGTTAATGATATGGCACATTGCAGGGAGGCAGCGCTGCAATGATAATGCTGAAATACAAACTGTAGCAAATTGGGTCTTCCCAATGCCCTCCAGACCACGAGCTATATTCAATGCTTTGCGAGCTTGTTTAAGAGAGTTATTAGCTGCATTTGACTTGCAGAAATAGGTAATAATTGAGCGAAGGCTTTTAACCACCTATATAGGAAAACAGATGAGAATAATTCTCTAATGCTCGGAGAAGAATCAAAAACTCACAGGCGAGAACATGTCCAGTTGTGTAATATCCTTGCAAAGAAGATTGAGATCGGGAATTTGAACCAGAGTTTTTATCTCTGTGCATAATAGCTGGCGAGCAACACAAGTATTCCCAGTGTTGTCAGATGTGACACCCGCAAAATGGTTTCGTCCAAGCAGGTCAATGGCCCTCAGTACAAGCTGTGCCAAGTACTCGCCAGTGTGAGATTCATCAGTGCATTCCTCCCCTTGGATAAGAAAGCTTCATCCTTCTGGTGTTGTGAAGTGAATAGTGTAAACTGCATCCTGTTATTTTGCTGTTCCACCATCAAATGAAACTGTCAAGTTGAACTTTGATTTGAGAAAGTCAAGAGTAAGCTCTCGGATGTGTGCTGCTTCTTTGGGGATATGACTATCAGCAATGGTTGTGCTTGAAGCTGGCTGATAGGCTTTGTTTGCAATTGCATGCAAATCCTTCCATTCTTTGTAATCTGCAATTTGTGGGGGGGAGACTTGCCGCACAGATAAGCTTGACAATAGCCAGGTCCATCCAAAGCCCCAGGATCTTTTGGCCTTCGCTTCCAAAATCCAGATTAATCACAGTAGGCTTGTTGGCTGTAGCATTGAGTAAAGGAATCTAGGCCAGCTCATGGCTATGATAAGAAACTTTGGGTGTCAGTTGGTCTCGGATCTGATCTTTGACACTGTTGAACAAGGAGTCAGCATTGTAGTGATTGGAGGTTGGGACATACTTGTCGTCATTCCAGTCATATTTGCAAGGACAAAGAAGGTATCCCATAAGGCTGTGAGCAAAACCTTGCCCATTTTTGTCAACTGTGTCGAGAGGAGAACATGAATACATTGTTGAAAAAAGTTCCGATAACCACAAAACCACAGCTGGTTTCATTTTCCCTGCATTATCCCCACGAGCACCATCTGCCCCTTTTGTGAGCTTGATGACAAAGTTGAGCGTCAGAAGGGATGCAAGCTGGAAAGCAAATGACGTACCTGCTTATATATAGACAATAGTTTTTTGACCCTCACTGGTGTCTCAAGCAATTTTTGTTTGACAGACGGTACATAGAGTATGAACTCTTTGAACGTGTTGTAAAGGCAATTCTCGCTGTAGAGTAGGACATCAGTAGATATTCCAAGATAACTAAGGGAAAGAGCACACTCGTTAGTGTATTGCCAAGACCCTCCCAGTTATCACTAGTGCCATCATCATCTTCATCCCTGCAATCAGAGGCAGCGGCTATGTCAATCACAGAATCAAAGAAAGTAACTAGATGCCAAATACCGCGACCTTGAGTAACCCAAGAGTCCGTATCTCTGTAAAGATTAGGTGAGATGCAGGAAGTGTAGCTCAGATATATCGGCTTTACACTTTTTGTTTTTAACGCCCGTGTCTGAATTCTTCAAGCTGCTGTTTAAGGACCTCTAACCTGTATTTTGTCCCTGCATGCACAGTAGCAGAATCCATGTTTTGAGGGGGGGAAGATGCATCCATAGGTACTGCAGATGAAACAAGATATTCCCAACCTGGGATGGACTTTCAAGTTTTTAGGGAGAGAAAAAAAGATTGCCCTTAAGCATGTCGCACTTCTGTGTGACAATCATACAACACCAAATCTAACTTCAACATCAGATACTGAGTCTCTGCACCAGTTTCCCAGGCTAAAATTAGAAGGTTGATGGTCAACTAGCAAAAATTTTGTTCATAATTGATTATTGAGCCCAACCATTAAGCAGGGTTGGGGGGCCACCCGCAACACAGTGTTAGACCCGTTGCAGGTTGAGGTCCAACCCATCAATCATAATATATTTATTGGCATCCGCTGGGTCAGCAGATACTTCCTGCTGATGGACAAGTTGGTGCTCAACCTTTGCTTTCATATATTATGTAAGTAACTGATCTGTGGAACCAAATTTAGGGAACTCTTTACCTCAAATGTTATTGGCCAATGAATAATATATTGTAAAGGGCAATCAGATTTGAATCATTACCAGAAACATATTGACGTTTACCATCTGCCATCTACATTACAAGCATGAACACGGTCAACATGAGTATCAAAATCCAAAGTGAGCAGGTGTAAAGATCCTTCCTTGTAAGTGGAATGCTTACACACTTCTAATAGCAAGACCAGTGGAAACAACAAGATCACATAGCAGTACAGGTCTGAGCCATCAAAAGAGAGTCTTGCACAACCATAATCCACTGAGGAAACATCACAGTCTAAGATGGCCAGATGAACATGAAAAGTGTTATATCCCATTGATGCTCTCCTGGAAATGCGATATTGATACATATCCGCACTTGGATTATCCTTACGTCGAGGAGATAATATTGTTGTTTGATCTTGCCAAGACCCGCCTGCAAAAACATATTCTTTTCCTGAATCTTCAAAAAGGCGGCATCACCACAGTCGAAGACATCATATTCATTGATCCTACTTGGATCTATTACTGGACTGATATTCCTGTGGGCAACATCATGAAATTTTTCCTGGAGACACGGAGGGTTTTGCTGGAATTTCACCATCAAAAGCAGGCTGAAATTGATCAGTATGAGACTTTGCTTCGGGAAGGTAGAGAGATGATAAAGTAAATTCACCTCTTCAATTCCCTTTGATGGACACTGATTCAATGTCCTCAACAGCTTTTGCACAGGCAAACATGAAGGTCAAAAGAAAGACGGCTGGGACTTGGAGCCCAAATATGACCCAGAAGTCATAAATGAATAGTCCTCCATCTTCATTCTCTAGCGTTGGTTATGTAGGCTAGATAGCTTACTTTGGGATGAGTTTACTACTGTACTAAGATGGGCCACCTGTACTTCAGCTGAGAAGCACCGAGATATCTGAGGGAGGAGGGCAAATTAGTCCATAATAATAGGAAATTGAGCGTGATTATACCGAACCTTTGTAGAGCCTCACAAAAATATGTATGAAGCATACAATATGACAGAGGATGACCTCCAAATGATAGAGTTTTTGAGAGAGAATGGGGAATCTCTATCAGTAGCTGTTTTCCATTACATTACATTATTTTGATTTGGACGTTTAGTGTATCGGCACTTACTATGAGCAAATCCCTGTAGGGCTGCCTCCAGATCTTTGAGAAACTTCTACAAGCAAGTGTATCAGCGTGATTTATCTATCACTGTGTTAAGGATGAAGCATTTAATCTAAAAAAGATATCTGAGAATGGAAGAAATGGAAAGCAGAATGGCTAAGAGAAGTAAACCAAGAAACATAGAAAGAAAAATGTAAAAAGCAAACTGAACCCATTCAGAATCAAAGAACCAAACCTCACGAGGGAAAAGGTAAAAATGTTGTGCTATTGATTACCCCCGACTATACTAAATTTGCCCCATGCAACAGTCAAAGAAGCGTTCAAGGACATTGAGAACTGGTCCGCCTATGTGACCATAAGGGAAAATGATAATTGTTCAAGACTTGAGTTTCCTCGGAATCATGTTCTCTTGATGGGTGATGGGTGACAATTGATGCACCTGTGGTGATGGGCTGGCAACAAGGATGAATGACTGTGGGCGAACTCACTCACCGTCTGTGCGACCACCAAACGACTCTCCCCCACCTGCACAACCAATGTGCAACTCTCCTTCACCTGTAGGACCATCTCCCAATTCTCTTCCGCCTGTGCAATGACCAAATGGCTCTCTTCGGTGAGCATTATGTTGTTGGTGGACTTGGGGGTAGTGGGACACGATAAACTACTCAATGGCAGTGAAAATAGCGTAAATAGGTGGGAATGCGAGCTTGCCTTTGACTCACAGACATACTTGCAGGCACATGGGTAGGCATCAAAATAAGATAATGAGATGAGATAAAGACTTACCCCGCAATTAAATGACGGCGTGTATTGACTAGTGTAAGAGGGCAATGATGATACAGCAAAGAGTGAGTAAAGGACAGAAGGAAAGACCGGCCCGTGGGTAATGTGACTCCAAATTTGGATGTTCTCTGCGTGGCCACTGCAGTCACTGGGAATTTTTGATCCGAACACGGGGATTGCCAAAGTCACGCCACACTTACTCACTGTCAACGTTGCACACTAGTGATTGGGATGATTATTGCGATAATAGACATCGCGGACAGGATTTGATGATAGAACCCACCAGGAAAACCAGAGCGAATAATCTGATATGCTTGTGCATATACAGGGAAAATATGAATGTGTGTACCATGAGTAAGCATAGATTGAGGAGACAGTGAGCAAAAAAGACATACCAAAATATAGGAGTCCAACACAATAGGAGTGTGGGACATGGTCTGGAAAATTCAGATATGCAATTGCCCATCAGTTTCACATCTGCAAGAAAACAAGATCATTCAGTAGGAGTGTAAATGCACCTTAGCACAACCAAATCACTTCCAAGAGCAATATTGATAAAACATGGCAAAGAAGAGAACCTAACCTTGGTGTGGGTATCTTCATGTTCAATTTGAGTGCTATGTATTGATGGTTATTCTGAATAACTTTCGAGATTTTAGCAAGTATGTCATCACAACAAAGGTACATGTGGGATTCATGTGGATTCTAAATCCTCAAGCATTCTCAGGCATCAAAAGGGAAGGTTAGGGGAGGTCTGCTCAACTGCACTCCCTACTAGTAGCATGGCAGTACGAGCGCAACTTGAAGACGCCCATAATCTGATTCTCAATCATGCAAGGAGTCATGTGTGAGAAGAGAGGAGTTGCCTTACTGCCAAATCCCTGCCGGGTCACCACAAATTCAGGGTCACCTATTCCTTTTCAGTGTACCATATTCTGAATATTACATTGTACGGGGACTAAGGCATTCGAAGGCAGGAAGCCGTTGAGGCTCTGCTGATCGTGATATTGCGTGGATGCATATCCCTGCTGAGAGTGCTGAAAATCGTAGCATTGCTGAGGGTCAACATAATGCCGGAACTCAGTTGGTTGGAGGGAGTCAATGTGATGATCAAACTCAACATGGCATTTTACAGATTTGAGCTGGCTGTGTGCTCAAGCGCATTGCTGATCTTGCACATACTTGTTTTTATCCCAAGCCGCAATCACGCTCTGAAAACACTTATAAGCATGCCTTTGGAAAATACAAAGATAACAGTAGTTGAGGACTTACACCAGGTGAAGTGTCCATCACGTTGGACTGAAAACCATCATTGAAAAAGCACCCACACTCTGATAACAAAGCTTGGTCAAAATCTTTGCGACGCATAAAAGGTTGCTGGAATTTGAGGGAGTGATGCATTGGTGAGACTTCAAACTGTTGATTATTGAGGCAGGGACTGAGACCCAAAGCCTGCTGGTTCTTGACACTTTGAAGCCAGTCAGATTCCTGCCTGGTGTCTTGATGTAAGTAATGCTGTTGACCCGGGAGTCCCTAGTACAATTCAGTATCTTGTTGATTCTCTGTACCACGGTAGAAATCACAAACCTGCTTCCCTTCAACGCCTCCGCAGAAGCTAGACTCTTACTCAAAATGGGTACTTTTCCATTCCATGGCTTCCCTATGCTGCCGCTTGGGTTTGACAGACTTGAACCACATTGTATTACTTAACCTACTCAGACCCCCAGTGGCACTTACAGTATGATCCATATCCGAGTCAACCATTGTCACGTCCAACTCCGAGTCCTGCTGGTAATCCATAGTAAAGTCCATAGTATAAGTCACACCGTGGATGCAAATTATCAACAATGCTGCATGTAAGTAGCTGAGGCTCGCCGTGGTCGCCAAAAGGTTGTGACAAGACTTGGATGGCTTGACTTGGCAGAATTGCCTTCGGGTGATCCGTCTTGACAGTGCCAGCAGATTCAAGTGGGATTTTAAGAACATTGGCAGCACAATGACCAAAAGCTTGGGGATTGCAACTTACACAGAGATATTCCCCTGAGTTATGCAACATTGTTGTGAAGCATGATTTAGCCAACAGTCGTCAAAGTGGAATTACATCTAAGATTACATCATGAATCAATTAAAAGCGCACAGCGCTTGGCAATTACCTTACAACTGGCATGGTTGAGGTCCAACCTGTATGACAGCGAGTCGCTGTCACCGATCCGAGGCGGGAATGCTTCGCCACCAGTATTTGTTGTTCCAAGTTGGCAAATCCCACCAAACCGCTGGGGTATGGGTCCAACCTTACCAACAGCAACAATATTGCTTCACTACTGACATTGGATTGTAGGATCTATGAGAGCCCATCAATGTTGAAGGGGTTAAAGTCGTACGTTTCTGTATAAAAAGGAGAAGTTAAACACTATCTAAATATCAAACTATTGTTGCCGCACTCGCTCGCACCTTATCACATTACTATGATAGCTGATATGCACGTGAATAACTCACTGGCAGATGATTCGGACCACTCCGCCCGTGTACAACCTCCAAATTCAACCTCTAGCAACAATAACACACATTCTCACAGTGAGTTTTGCACCGAACCTGCATGCCAACAGGCCACCTGGTTTCAATTGTAAGTTTGTTCAATCTATCCAAAATTCAGACGCCAAAACTGACCAACATCAAGTTCAGGCCAGTTGAAAAGATAGGATTTTGGATAATCTTCCCTCTGGTACTATGTAAAACTTCCCTCTGAGAACATTCTTTAACTCTCAAATTGCTTCTTACATACAGAATACAAAAAACTTTTAGCTTCAAAAGTTGCAATGTTGACGGACAACAAGGCATTGTGTGATGAGAACAACAGATTATTGGAGGCAATAGCCCGCTTGCGCACAAACACAAGTTTACTAAGATCTCAGCGCAAGAGGTGGGAGCATAGATGGGCGGATGAAGCTTGTCAATGTGAGCTCTATAGGTGACATGTACCTGGGGAGGACTTGGTGCACTGTATTGAGGGATCACAGGTCAATGTCTCACGAATTTCTGGTCCTTTCTGGATGACAGTGTACTGATTTAAGTTGGTGCATTTATTTTGCTTTTTTTCTGACTTCCTTACATTTCATTGAAGCTGATTCTACCACTGCCATTCTGTAGGTATCAGCGCTTTAACCAGCAATTATTATGAAGGGCTTACCACTCCATTTTCTTTTCCTCTACATCTTTGCTATGTTATTATGCAGCAAACTTTGTGGCCATACATCCACCTGTCAACAAGGACTCAGTAAACATTGACATTCTTGCAAGCTATACAAACAATTGCAGGCTCATGCAGTAGAAAAACGCGAGAAAAAACTTGAAAAGTTGAGGGCAAGGTTTACTGCGCTTAATAGATTGCGCAACACCTCCGCACCGTTATATCACACAAACACTGCCTTGTTGTGAGTAATTGCCGACATAAATTAATCTCTTAGCACCAAGTGATAATGTTTGCAGGGTCTCGGACAGGTTTGGCCATGGAGCTCTTGACTCAACATGTATCTCCACTTCTCTTCCTCCAACCTTCTTGTCATCATCCATGGTTGGGTTTCCTGATTCTACAGCATCCATATCACATCCTCATCGAGAAACATCTATACAGGATTCTGGGAGTGATCAGTCCACCAGACTCCCTGATCTATACTGTGATAATATTCCTGAAGAACCTGCACCGATAGACGTTCCCGCAGAGCCTTCCACAATTTCTAAAGTGCTGCTGTTTATTATAGACGGAATAAGGACTTCCATAAACAAATTTGGCCTTGGTCATCAATATGCAAGCTGCCCCTCATATGATCCTGAAGACAAGATTAGCCTTCAAGATCTTTGGCAAGTAAGATATAGGGATCCCACAATGACCGGGGATACCATGGCATTGCAATCTAATCACTTATCCCACCCAGCTCCCTGGCCCTTTACTAATATGTCTATACATTGTATCATGAAGTGGATGATCACCGGCTCCCATCAAAAATCCGAGAGGGAGGTGACGCAACTTGTCCGAGACATTATCTTGGCCCCGGACTTCAATGTTAAGGACTTGCATAGCTTCAATGCCCGTCACGCAAACCAGGTTTTTGATCAGTCTAATTCTCCCAGTAATGACCCTTTCACATATGATGGTTGGAAAGAGAGTGAAGTAAACATTTGTATTCCTACTAGGACAATGGATGCAAACGGAAATGGTAAAGTTTTCTCTATTCCTCACTTCAGATACTGCCCTATTACCTCGGGTCCTTCAATCGGTCCTTTCCGAGGTCTCTGCAAAGGGGCTTCATCTGTTTTCTTTCAAACAGTTTTGGGTTCCTCCCTCTGGTGGCCCTGAGAAGTGCATGTGCAACAAACTCTACACCTCTGATGCCTGGCTTGAAGCTTAGGAAAAGCTAAGCAGACAACCACCCGAACCCGGATGCAAGTTGGAAAGGGTCATCACAGCCCTAATGTTCTGGTCGGACTCCACAAGTCTTGCATCATTTGGGAATGCCCAGGCACCTATTTACATGTATCTTGGCAACCTATCAAAATATGCTCACGGGAGGCTCACTTCCAGAGCATGTCAGCATATTGCGTACATACCAACAGTAAGTTTATTTCGCTTATTCCACAATTCTGGTGTTAAAATCCAGTAGCTGCCAGATAGCATCCAAAAGTTCTTATCAATAGTCATTCAGCAAACGCAAAAGTCTACCGCTCTTATCACCCATTGTTGTTGAGAGCTTATACATGAAGTCTGGAGGCTGCTTCTCGGTTCCAATTTTATGTACCCGTACAAGCACGGCATAATTATCAAGTGTTTTGACGGGATCTTCAGGAGATTCTATCCACAAATTTCTACCTTCTCTGCAGACTACCCTGAAAAGTGAGTGCCAGTGCTTTGTGGACCCTCTTGTAGTTTGTTTACATATCATATGTACATAGGGTTATGCTCGCTGCAATCCAAGATATGGGAAAATGCCCATGTCCTTGCTGTTTGGTCCAGCTATCTAATTGTGATCAATCAGGCCTAGTTCACAATTTTCAAGCCTTACTTTTGCAAGCTTGTGTTTATGTCGCAGGAAAGGTGTGGCTCGCTAGAGATTTTATCTACAAACAAGGTGTACCAGTCAACGGGAAAGCGGTCCAAGATTTATTACAGTCTGAATCTCTGGTGCCGACTGTCAGGCAACAAATACGAAGCTATATAACAAAGCTCAATGTCTGGTCAAGTCCTTCTTTGAAGGCGGTGAATCAGAGTATGAGAATGAAGAGTATCGGTAAGAGCGCAAATCCAAACTAATATTGAACTGGAGAACAATACATCAAGTATGTACTTCTCTATATAGTGAACGACGATAGTCAGACCGAGAAAGGGAAGTACTGAGAAAGTGGTCTGACCAGCTAGCTAACCAATAAGAAAAAAGGAAGAAAGTGGTCCGATCTATTGTCTTTACTAATCGTACGAGAAAGCGTATTGGTAAGGGATGTACGATTGGCTGTATCAGTAAGCCCATGAGAAGGCGCTGACTCACAACCTTCTTCGCTTATCAATATTCCTCCGAAGTATTCCCAGACATAGCACTGGACCGTGACTATGTCATCTGGATATCTTCTCGAGGGTCGACAACGAGTCTACCTCGTTGTAGGTACGATAGAACGTGAGTGTGAAGAGAGAATAAGAAGAAAAATGATAAAAGTAATAAGACACCTGCTGTAATCTCTAGTCCAAGGGCAAGAGGAGTGACGGGGATCGAGTCTGCTAACCACGACATGACGGGAATGCGATAAGAAAAATTGATTCCTCACATTAGCTCCCCTTTTTATAAGACTCGTGTCCTCATGAGTCCGGATGCGGCACTTTGGAACTTGTTACTAATCCAATCAAAGAGCATTGGAGGTTTGGAAGTGGCGGTGTAGTTTTCGTAAGGACGGAAGTGGAGAGAAGCGGTAATAATCCGAGGGGCGGCTGGATTTGTTTTATGGAAGGCGGCGAGTAAATCAGCGACATGCGTAAGATTGGTGTCGGGTTCCCAAGTTCGTTCGGAGACTGGATAACCATGCCAGTGAATGAGGTAGTCGAGTTTACTACCTTTCAGTTTGGTCGGTCTGGAAGCGATTATACTCTCTACTTCGTATTCGTCTATTCCTTCCACGATCTCGGGTGGTGGTCGCGAGGAAATTGGTTGATTGATGAATTCGGGAGCGTGGTATGGGGAGAGGATGGCTTCGTTGAATACGGGATGAACGGACTTCCAACTTTTAGGGACATCGAGTTGATAGGCGGAGGGTCCGACCTTTTGGGTGACTTTGAAAGGTCCGAAGCGTTTATCGTCTAATTTCTTCATTGGTCTATCCGTTGTGATGTTATGCCCTTCTAACCAGACTTTGTCGCCAGCTTGATACTCCCGGGAGGGGGATTTCTTACGGTCGTAATACTTCTTCAGATTCTCGTTTGCTACAAGAAGGGAGGATTTCGTGATATCGTGGAGTTTTTTCATTTGCTCGCTAAATTCTGCTGCAGAAGCGGATCGAGGGGACAACGTGGTGGTGACATCGTTCTTGGGTGTAACCTATAGTTCAAAAAGAAGGGTGTTTGATTCGTTGCGGTATGGAGGTGGTTGTTGTATGTAAACTCAGCAATGGAGAGCCAGTCTGCCCAGTCATCTTGTCGGTGATTTATAAAAACGCGGAGGTAGTGCTCTAGATCCTGGTTGATCCGTTCGGATTGTCCGTCTGTTTGAGGGTGATAGCCTGTAGAGAGGCCTGGTGTTATCCCCATTAGGTCGTAAAAGTCTTTTGTGAATCGAGACATGAATTGAGGACCTCGATCGGAGACGATCTTTTCAGGAACTCCGTGGAGTTGTATTACATTATCTCGGAGTTGACGTGCATAACTGGCTGAGTCGAGAGTGACGAAGGTGGGGATGAAATGGGCCATTTTACTAAATCGGTCAACAAAGACCTGAACGGCGGTGTAGCCCTTGGATTCCGGTAATGTGCCTATGAGATCGGTGGTGATAATCTGCCAAGGCCGATCTGGTACCGGGTTCGGGTGTAGAGGGGCGTTAGGCTTTGTCCGATGTGCCTTGGTACGTTGACAACTCTCGCATCCTCGTACATACCGTCTGATATCAGTACGAAGACTTGGCCACCAGAGCTCTCGGCTCACTCGTTCAAACATTGTTCTTTCTCCTGGGTGTCCAGCCAGGGCTTCGTCGTGATGATCTTTCAATATTTGCGCCCTTAGTTCGTGATTTCGGGGAACGTATACTCGGTCAGCTAATGGGATCGGGTAGGAACTCGTCGCGGACTCTCTCTTGATCCAGACGATCCTATCCTTCATCTTCCAGGTATCCGGCTTCTCTTTCAAATTCTTCTTTACTACGTCGTCTTGTTTCTGGAAACTTCGACGTATATCTGGTAGGTATCCTTCATTGGTGTCAAGTACTTCGAAATGTACGTCTGGGAGAAGTATCTGATCCTCGTTATCGTTTGTGCCTTTAGGATGATCAATCCGTCTGCTTAACAGGTCGGCCTTCGTATTCTGATTTCCTTTGACGTGTTCCATCTTAAAATTATAATCTGCAAGCTGGGATGACCATCGAGCTTGGCGTCGATTGTATTTCTGCGGTTGACCGAAGTAGAGGAGGTTTTGGTGATCTGTGAAGATGGTGAAGGGGTGTTTCGATCCTACAAGGTGATGTCGCCATTCATCTAACGCCGTCATGACTGCGAGCATCTCTTTGTCGTAAATTTCATAGTTCCGTTCTGCAGGGGTAAGGGCTTTCGAGAGGAACGCTATGGGTCTGAATTTGTCGTTTTGTTTCTGGGATAGGACGGCTCCTACAGCGAAGTCAGAGGCATCGGTTTCTAGTTTGAATGGGTCGTCGTCGTTTGGTATAGCAAGGGTGGGGGCAGTAGTAAGCGTTTTCTTCAACGTTTCAAAGGACGTCTCTTGTTCGTCTTTCCAGGTCCAGTCAACTTTTCCGGTGAGCACAGTGAGTGGTTTCGCAATTCGTCCGTAGTCTTTAACAAATCGTCGATAGAAATTGGAGAACCCTAAGAATGATTGGAGTTCCCTTTTGTTCTTTGGTGCGGGCCAGTCAGCGACCGCTGCGACTTTTAACGGATCCATACGGATAGTGTCTTTGGAGATGATCATGCCTAAGTACTCGACTTCCTGTTTCTCGAATTCGCACTTCTTTGGTTTAAGATACAACTGATTTTGTTGCAGGATACGGAGGACTTTGGTGACTATTTGACGATGTTCTTCGAGTGTTTCCGTGAAGATCATAATATCGTCTAAATATACAATAACTTTTCCTTCCGTGATCAGTTCTCTTAGGAGGTGGTCCATCATGGTCTGGAAGGTTGCTGGCGAGTTGGTAAGTCCGAAAAACATGACGAGGGGTTCGAACAGGCCGCGATTGGTCCTGAAAGCGGCCTTGTGTTCGTCTCCTTCTTGGATTCGGACGTTGTTGTATCCCCATTGTACGTCTAGTTTCGTGAAGTAATTGGCACCTTTGAGTTTATCGATAAGTTCGGATATGAGGGGGAGGGTGTAGCGATTCTTTATGGTAAGCTCATTCAGCCTGCGATAGTCTTGGACAGGGCGTAGTGAGCCATCTTTCTTTTTGATAAAGAAGAATGGTGATGCGTAAGGTGATTTGGATACTCGAATCCGTCCACTTGTTAGATTTTCGTTAAGGAATTCGTCTAGATGGTGTTGTTCGTCTCGGCTAAGAGGGTACGTTTTGCAGTCAAGACCATTAGCCTCGGGTATTAGCTCAATTGCATGGTCCCAAGGACGTTTCGGGGGAAGTTTGTCGAATGATTCTTTGGTGAAGACGGGTTCAAATTCATGGTAGATTGGAGGAACAACATCTCGGAAGGTGAGCTTTGACTTTGCCTTTTCGGAGGATTCAGCGATTTGTTGACTTTTAGTGGCAAAGGCGTTCAATTCTAGCTGTGTTATTTCCATAATTCGTGTTTCAAGATCTACGGCTAGAACTTTATCCCCTTCTTCAGGATGATACTCCGGATCATCAGCAGGGAAGGTAATCTTGTTGGTCCGCCAATCAATTGTTGGATTCGTCAGTATCAACCAGTCGTATCCAAGCAGTATGCGTGGTGAAAGTAGGGATGCTACGATGACATCTATCAAATGTTCTTTCCCTTTCACATTGATGTGAAGAGTGATATAGTGTGTCACTTTCTGGGATCGACCATCGGCTCCTGCAGCGTCAAGAGGGACGGGCAGATGCGTAGTATTGAGGGTGTACTTGTCAACCAGGCTTCGATCAATAACTGAGTTGGTGCAACCAGAGTCGATAAGGGTTGGGACGGTGAATGTCTGTCTGTCGTCTATGGTAGTGACTTGAGAAATGACGTGGAGGCTTCGTTTTGACGTAGGGTTGTGCGGCGAGGTGTAAGCATGGATGCGTTCTATAATGTTCTCTTCGTCGTGGTTCTTTAGCATCTGTATCGCCTGCAGGGTGATATGCTCGTAGTGATCTTTATGGGCCCAGTTTCGTAACAGAGCTCTTGCTCTTTCTGGTTTCTGGTCTTTGATTCGTCTGGCCAACCATTCCGGTGAATGTGGCTTTGCGTAGGTTTCGGTTACAGCACGTAGATGTTGATCAACTCGTTTTATTGCAGTCGTTGGTAATATACGAGGGTTAATTACAACATTTCGGGTCAGAGAGTCCGTGCTTACTCCTGACCTTTCTGAAAATCCTTCGGGGGTGCTTCGATTTCTTTTAATGACGATGTAGTGGGAGTGTCTTTGGTTTCCTCCGTTTCCATATATCGTATTGCCATCTTTCCATGTGGGCAATTTCTAGCAATGTGGCCTCGTTCGCCACAGTTGTAACAAGTAACATTCGGGTTGGGCCGATGTTGTCTCTGCGTGTTGGAACTCCCAATCTCCATAGGTACACCTGATCCTCCAAACGTTCCTGCTGTGTTTGGATGGACTGCATTCTGGGGCGGTGGTCTATGAGATGGAGTATAATACGGTCGCTGTTGGATATATTGTGGTCTTCGCGTCTCTGTTCGCGGTACTGTCTGTCGATACTGTGGCGGAGGGTAGTCCCGGTTCTGCTGATAGCGCGGTTGATATCGTTGGTACTGAGTTGGCAGCCTCTGTTGAGGTGGTTTATCTCTCCTCCTTTCCAGATTAAGCTCTTCATTTCGCTGTTCCCATTTCCTTGCCGCTGCCTTCCACTCTAAGTACGTGGTGGGTAGGTTTTCCTGTTGCGAGATACGATCACGAAGGAATTGAGAGAGGTTGCGGCGAAGGATACTGTGAATGAACGGATAACTTTCATCTGCGTCTGGTGGTAATCCCGCTTCCATGAGTTTGGATTCGAGTCCTCCAAAATATGCGTCTACCGTCATCTCTCGCTGTTCGTAATCGTGAAGGGCAATCTCTGCTTTCAACTTGAGATGGGGGTCCAAGAATTCGTTATCTAATTCCTTGATGAATTCTGAGATAGTTCCCCAATTTCGCGGTGCAAATAGGTCTCCTAGCACTGCGGTTTTGTTGTTGAAATTCGCCTTCCATGTATGACAGGCGTCATTGGCTTTATCGGACGAGATCCGGGATAGTGCAAAGAGAATTTTGGAGGAGTTGGTTTGGAAACTTCTGGGATAGGCGAAAAAGTAGTTTGCTAAAGCGTTCTTCCAGTCAACGTATGTTTCCTTTTTACCGATGAATTCGAATGGAGGAGTGGCAAGGACAGCTTTACTTCCTTGATTTGTTTCGTCGGCCATTGCTGCTGCTAGATCAGGTTCAAGGTCCAAAGATTCCTGATCGAACCAATCGTCGGGTTGGTTTTCGGGTTCTGGAGTTGGAGGTGGGGGAGGAAAGTTTTCTGGTCCTGCTGATTGATACAGATCGTCTGGTTCTAGAGCTTCAGCAGCAGCTCCTAGAGATTGTGGGGGAGGTGTGTCGGGAGTGACCAGAGGACGGGGTTCTCGATAGGGCTCCAGATTTTCAACGGCTTAGATCACGGGTTTTTTAGATAACAAGTCTTTCTAGATAACTAGTCCTTTTTTGTTTACTCAAAGTCTGGGTCAAACGTAAAATTACTAGGGAAGTCTCCTCCTTCTGCTTCTCGGGGTCTCCAGTATTCTACGCTTTGAGTAGACTCTTCACTTTCCGACTCGGTTTCGCTGCTAGATTCTCCTCCAAGTATATCTGTTAATGAACTTCCTGTTTCTCGTTCTATCCTTTCTGCGCAAGGTGCAAAAAGTTGTTCAACCGACGGGATGAGCGGTGCTTCTCCTCTCCGACCTTGGTAGGTGTAAGAGTACTGCGAATAGATACGAGTTCGTGAGCTATGGTTGATAACGGCCCAGAAATCGCTTTGGAGTACTGTAACAATGAAACGTTCGGGGTGATCAGATTGTTGGTTAACAACAAATGGAGTGAGGATTTCTAGGATCCAGTAATATTCGTCGACGTATTCTGAAACGTGTCGAATGTTGTCGATTTCGGTCGTGTAGTCTTCTCCGTCACGGGATTTCCTCTGAGCAGTCGCGATGAGCTGATCAAATCGTGCTAACGCAGCAACAACTCGTCGAATATGATCTTTAGTAGAGGGCGTGACGATTATAATAGAAGTGCTGTGTTGAAGACCAAACCGCGGCCCGAATGCGTCAAGATCTTGGACTTCAGGGAGGTAGAGAGTTCGGCGAAGTCGTGTCAGATTTTGGACAATAGAAAGGTGGTCCAGATGATTGCCGATGCAGAAGTACTGGATGGGTTGGTAACTGACAGGAGAGGCGGAGTAGGTGTTGTAGTAGTCAGATGTAAAAAATGAGGACGGGATATCGTAGGTAGGTTCCTCGTTAGGCCTCTTCCTTAACACAATGCCGCAAAGCAAGGTGTGTTCGAAGTCGTAAGGGAGGAGGCGGTTGGGTATGTCTGGAAAAATGAGAGGGCGGATTTGATAAAGATCGAGGAGATCTGGGATGTGGCTCTGCGGAATAAGTTGCAGGTTTCGTTCTTGTACGTTGGCTATTCCTTTCAAAAGCTTAACCCTCTGAGTGTTCTCGTAACTCGGGCGTACTAGGCTCTCGAAGTAGTCTATCAACGGAATTTGTTCGTGCCGCAGGGATATGAAGATTAAAAGTTCTCTCTGTGCTCTGTCGGAGATGTTGGAGTATCTCCTCGAGACTGCGAGAATTTCTCCTACAGATGGCGGAATGGTAAAAGATGGATTGGGTGAGAGCGAGTGCGTCGTTTATGTCGAGGATGATATCCTCGATCGGATCAATTGGTGAAGACGAAGCAGAGGAGTCTTGATACAACTCAGTGATCTGTTCGACCGTTCCTTCCACGTCTGGAGTACGGGCTTTGGTAGGGACGGGGAGGACCGGGAGCGGTTTGTTGAGAGCTGCGAGGAAATCTTTTTGGTGTCTGCGGTCCGCTTCTGATACCCACTCTTCTGAGAGCTGTTGGGAGGTAGACACGATGGAGGTATACGACGTCGCTGACGAGTCCGGTTTGTAGGTATCTGATGATGGCAAAGAACGCAAAGAATTGGACGAGAGCGGTGATGGTAGAGAAAGCGTCCAGTTTGAGAAGACTGAACGACAATAGGTGTAATGGGGTGGATAGTGAGAGGTCGATGACGATAGTGAGGAGAGGGATAGGGATGGTAGAGAGGTGGAGAAGGTGATGATGAAGGTTTAGACCGGTGCAATGGCAACGACAGTCTGTTTTAGGGTGTAAGGAAACGGTTTCCCAAAAAGGGGCTCTGGAAAAGGATTCGAGGTAGGTGAGTTCAATATTTTGTCAGGCAACAAATACGAAGCTATATAACAAAGCTCAATGTCTGGTCAAGTCCTTCTTTGAAGGCGGTGAATCAGAGTATGAGAATGAAGAGTATCGGTAAGAGCGCAAATCCAAACTAATATTGAACTGGAGAACAATACATCAAGTATGTACTTCTCTATATAGTGAACGACGATAGTCAGACCGAGAAAGGGAAGTACTGAGAAAGTGGTCTGACCAGCTAGCTAACCAATAAGAAAAAAGGAAGAAAGTGGTCCGATCTATTGTCTTTACTAATCGTACGAGAAAGCGTATTGGTAAGGGATGTACGATTGGCTGTATCAGTAAGCCCATGAGAAGGCGCTGACTCACAACCTTCTTCGCTTATCAATATTCCTCCGAAGTATTCCCAGACATAGCACTGGACCGTGACTATGTCATCTGGATATCTTCTCGAGGGTCGACAACGAGTCTACCTCGTTGTAGGTACGATAGAACGTGAGTGTGAAGAGAGAATAAGAAGAAAAATGATAAAAGTAATAAGACACCTGCTGTAATCTCTAGTCCAAGGGCAAGAGGAGTGACGGGGATCGAGTCTGCTAACCACGACATGACGGGAATGCGATAAGAAAAATCGATTCCTCACAATCCCCAGCACTATGGCTTCCGAGCCAAACTCCCATTCTCAACTTGAGGGACCAACAAATGAACGAACACCTAATTCCAACATAATCATGTTGAAAGCAGCTATAAGAGAAATAGAAGATCTTAAGATTACTCACCAGCATTTCAGAGACATTACCGACAAAAGAGTCAAGGTTTTGAATGCCGAAAATATCCTGTTGAAACAGGATAATCAACAAATCAAAGCTGAGATGGACAACCTGAAAAAACAAATTGTTGCACTCAACAAGGCAGGAGGGGTTTACTGTGTAGAATGCGAGGAAAGTGGAGGAGAGGAAGAAAATAATGAGTCAGATATTAGTGGTGACAGGGAACATATGAAGGATGTGCTCACCTCAATTCAAATCTCCCTCAACAACATCAATCCTGTGACTATTGCACTCGAAACACTCACTCCCCACCAACGAGAGGCTTTGAGCTTTGAAGCGGCTGACTCAAAGCCTGTGAAAGTGAGTGTCATATTGCATTATAGCCCAGAACCATACTCACTATAATATACAAGGATGCTATAAATGAAGTATTTATGAGAAAACTTGGTGTCGATAAACTCGAAGCGAAGCACTTACCAGATTACCTGTTGTCAATTGATCCCAGTCAATGTCCGAAAGACACTGCCACTCAAAAAATATCACATTGTTATAACTGGAAATTATCAGCTGACGACAAAGCAAATAGCAAAAATTTAGTAGAAATTCAACAATGGGTCATACTTAATGCAACAGTAGAAATACCACCAATTGTAGGGATGCTTCAGCTTGTGCTACCAAAGAACCTGAAGCATCAAATTTGTGTGAAATTCCAATATATGGCAAGGCAGTATTGTTTGAAATTGCAAAAGGACAAGGCACTGGCGAGTTGAGAGAATGAAGATGACAGGGACCTATCTGACACTCAAGAAGAGAACCTTGTAAGCATGTCAGTGTCCAAAGCACACAGAGACTCTTGTGCACAGTCTGTGAGTGTTTCAGACAATGATATGATGATTCTTGCACTCACCTGTTCCAAAACAGAAACTCAACCAACAAATTTGCAAACAGCCATTTTCTACTTACACCGACAAGAAATTTGATGCCGCATTTATCCTAAATGCTATGTCTGACGATGAGGACAATCCGGATTATTGGCCAATGTCAGATGAGGTTAGGACATTCATTAGTAGAGCCCCAGATTATTGGAGTGAAATAGTAAGTCATAAATCATATAAACTTCACAAAACACTGACCTTTATAACTTCAAACAATATATGACAACCTTGAGAAAATCCCAGATCCAAAGCCGAGCAAAGAAAAAGCCATGACACTGCATGTTCATGGCCCCATCATCAACAACTATCCACTTCCTTTCACAAAACTCCTCAAACATTGGCTCTGTGCGTGGCAGATTAAGCCAAAACTACTGGCCTTGGCTGAATATAGCAATATTCTTGGTTCTTCAAGGCTTGCTTACAGTGGTACAGCGTGGGGTGATGAAGAAAATCCAATTGATGATGGGTTGAATGGGGTTGTGCACCGCAAACAAAAACAATCAGCCAAAGATGGCGACAAGATTTTTATACGAATTGAACGAGTTCCAAAAGAAGACATCAGTACAAAAGCACAGAATAGCCTTGATGAGATACTAGGAAAGACTCACTAAGATGACCTGTTCAAGCAAAATGGTTGTCCAGAGCTAGAGTCTTCAGAATAAAGGAGCCCATTGATAGGATGGGATTATTCTTGTGAGCTGTTGAGGTTTTGCTCAATTTTGTCCAACCAGTCATTGCTAGGTGGTTCAACACCACTCTGTAGAATGTTTAGATATTCAACACATGTCAAAAATAGATACTTATACAATCAAACAAATGGATGATCCAAAGTTTATCAGTAAATATGTCTTGATTGAGTTTGATGGTAATCACGGCTACAGCAGATGTGAGTTGATCACTATCAATCAATTCCAGTCCCTGGAAACAATCTGCATATGCTACATAGATCCCAAGGTTTGTAGAACTAGAAATTGGCAACAGATATTCAATGAATACAGAACAATGTCAGGCAACAAATACGAAGCTATATAACAAAGCTCAATGTCTGGTCAAGTCCTTTCTTGAAGGCGGTGAATCAGAGTATGAGAATGAAGAGTATCGGTATGAGCGCAAATCCAAACTAATATTGAACTAGAGAACAATACATCGAGTATATACTTCCCTATATAGTGAACAGCGATGGTCAGACCGAGAAAGGGAAATACTGAGAAAGTGGTCTGACCAGCTAACTAACCAATAAGAAAAAAGGGAGGAAGTGGTCCGATCTATCGTGTTTACTAATCGTATGAGAAAATGTATTGGTAAGGGATATGCGATTGGCTGTATCAGTAAGCCCATGAGAAGGCGCTGATTCACTACCTTCTTTGCTTATCAATATTCCTCCGAAGTATTCCCAGACATAGCACTGGATCGTGGCTATGTCATCTGGATATCTTCTTGAGGGTCGACAACGAGTCTACCTCGTTGTAGGTACGATAGAACGTGAGTGTGAAGAGAGAATAAGAAGAAGAATGATAAAAGTAATAAGACACCGGCTGTAATCTCTAGTCCAAGGGCAAGAGGAGTGATGGGGATCGAATCTGCTAACCACGACATGACGGGAATGTGATAAGAAAAATTGATTCCTCACAGTGATAAATTGTAGTATGATTAAGCAGATGGATCCCTCTGTATATCAATATGAATGCGGTCCATATCTTCACTGATAGTATGGACTGATCACCTTGCTGATCGGATGATATCAAGGGCTTGACCTATTGCTTCCCCAATGCGTCGAGAATGGTTGTTTTGGACATTGATTAGCTGGCGGATTGTAAGGATGGTTGTACAAGCAGAGTTGATTGCCTTTTGGGCATGGACAAGTTTGGTGGTGTAGAAGGTGGAGAAAGAGCAAGCTGACAAGACAAAAGTCTTCATGATGGACACAAAATGCTTTGGACTTGGAGTACTGGACAAGTCGCGCTTGGAGTGATAGCCAAAGTCGAGACTCTGTGCCTGGATTTGCAATAAGGTTTCGCTATCTTTGTCTGATTGATATTCATATCTATATCCTGGCAGGACAAGTTGAGTGGATATTTCAGATTGTTCAAATTCGTCTTGAGTAAGGGAAGTCATCTTGAGGTGGTGGTATAATATGAAGAATAACTTAGCTTATTTTTAAGACCGATGAGGGTTATCCTATTTACAAGCTAACTAAAATACTAAAATAATAAATCATATTTATGGAACTCAAAGCACTCCAGAAAACGACCAAGTCCTTCATGAGTATCTAGTTGAAATGTGCAGAAAACCTACAGGTTTTGTGTAGCTCTCTAGAACCGAACATGCAGGCAAAATCTGATTGAAATGTGCCGGAAAAGACCGGGTTTTCGGGACATTTTCATGATTCGTAATCTCAGGTTTTTCGCAGTGCACGTTTTCTTGCCCGTGTGTGCATGGTTATTTTATCACTGCCACTCATTATGGCCATTTCGAACAAATACTTGTCTGCCAGCTTGGAAATGATGATTTTTGGAAGGATCTATCTGGTCGTGGACTTCTATTGGCAGTCATCACACCATGTAAAACTGAGGGTAAAGATGCAGCTCTAAAAGTTGCTGTGTATGGTGGATTAGCAGCTGCCATTGCCACGGACATTCGTAACATCAAAGCTGTTGTCGGACGAGTGAAGACCAGAGGAAAGTGGGGAATTATAGACCGAACAAGTGGTCTTGCTTCAGTCGCTTTCACACACCAGGACACAGAGGGAGTGGAATTTGAGTTTTATGACTCCGGACCAGGCTCAGATGATGACTTTATGCAATAGATTGCCTCGAAACTCTTTGATAAAAATTCAGTGATTGACCAGAATGATTAATTGATTTTAGCACTTGGTACATCATTGAATTATTGTAATATACAATGAACATCAGTGATCAGTGTTAACGCTGAATACTAGTGGTGGTTTCAGTGATGCGGTCACTGGGCTTAGATCAGTCGGTGATGAACTAGCTGGCTTTCAGTGACCTTATTTCCCACAGTGTGTATGACTCTACTATGAGCAAAATGTGCAGCATATGTGACTCGCAGATGTACATGCATGCTTCGAATTCTGACCTTTTTTTGCTAAGCTCTGAATCTGGAGCGACACTCAGCAAACTGATCAAATTCGAAGTCGCTATCGATCAAATAAAAGACACCAGCTAAAATTACGATCAACGTTGGTCGCTTCACATTCTTTTGTCAGTCGTCAAGCTGCACGAATTATGAAGGCCAAGCAGGAAAACAAGGAACCAAATTTGACCTTGGATGTTCCAAAACCGAGCGAAAAGGAACGACAAGTTGCGATTAAAAAATTAACAGATATCAGTAGAGCATCTGCCTGGCACGTTCATCGATGGCCTCTACAAAAAAAATGTGTCGAATATCGCACGAGGATGCATCTCCCGCGGACCTATTTAGCACGGGGCGGAGTGGATGTACGAGGGATTTCAGAGGGGATGGATCTCAATCAATTCGTATTTGAACATTATATGGAGTTGAAAGAGGGGAAAGCTGACGGTGTAAAGGCAGTGAATTATGTTCACGCGGATGACGTCGTATCAAGAAGGCGAGTGGATGGTTTTGCGGAAGCCAGTCTAGTTCGAATTGATCAACTCGATATCGCAGGCATGAGTATCTGGGACCAGATCCGAGAATTGCGGGTTACTTCTTTGACAACTATGGGGAGGTTCACATACGATGGTGGGACGGGTTTCTCAAAGATCAGTGGATGGACCAACAAAAATGGAAACTTAGTGTTAAAGTGGACGGTTCAGGTCAATGGGTAGTAAAGGAGGATTGATAAGAAAGCTGGTAAGTAAGTATTAGCGAGGGGCGGGTTACCAGATGGAGGGGTCTAATAGTTGCTCAGAGCAATTGCAAAAAGAAATTATAGAGCTTTCACATAGAGAATGAAGACAAAAATCAGGCAATGACTGGCATATGTGCAAAAGTTCTGAGACACCAAAAACCAATGGGAGACAGGGGTTAACACGTGCATTTCACGTGCACGTCAGTAGTGTTGTTTGAAAGTGGTCTCGAATATATGAAGGCCAATTGAGTATGATAACATGTTTGTTTATAGATCAAAATACCTGTATTACAACTCCAGAGTTTTTTTAGATGCAGACATAGCTGAAAGTAATGGAGAGACACTAGCCGAGCTCTGTAAAGTCAACACTGCGGCCTGTTGCGCTTTATCGACCATGTCCTTCAATGATTTTGGGCTCTCAAACGCCTTGGGGTTGCTCACAAGGGTGGCAAGGAGCGAGCCGACCAGTGAATCCCCAGCTCCTGTGACGTTGATTATGGATGATTTGTCAATGTGTAGAGCTGGAAAGTGCTGCAGAACGACCATCTCCCGTGAAGACATAGACCGGGCGATGACACGGCGAGCATCGAAGCTATTGGTCGCTGATATCCACGGCAAAGTTTCCACAACATGTCCGCTTAAGCGCATGGCGACTATGACGCCACGTTCCCCACACTTTATCACGAGCTTTTCGAAAAACGGGAGGAGATTTATGGCCATTTGTGCAATGCCTTCGCTGATTAGGAAAGATAGTGTTCCTTGTCTGGGGTCGTCCTTTGAGACATCCATTCGAGCTAATTTTTCCAAATCCATGCGGAATGCCGAGCCCAGTCCAAACCCGTCGATAACACGCCACCATGCTTCACTAGACATTAGGTCCCACGAGGGTGAGCGCACTTCATGGTATATGCGACAAAGCTCAAGGATATTAGGAGATGCAAAGGTTACAGGAGAACGCGTTAAGTCTTTGACCTCTGCAATTGCTGAAAGGATATTCGTCGACTTCATGACCGATGTAGGTTCGCTGATGGAAATTCAGATGTGCACGTAGTTATGCAACGCAATGTACCCACAAGAAAACTGAACGAATGATAAGAGAAGGAAGTTTGATAATGATTGGCTGTGACTTACTGTCAAGTATTTTCTGTGAACAGTAATCTACAAGTGTTGTAAGCGTGGTTTCGGACAAATTACCATCGACAGCTAAGACTTTGGGCGTGTACGTTTCTAGATACCGCACGACCTAAATTTTCATCAGGTCGCTGGCGGAACTAAAGGAAGACATCGATCAACCATATCTCCATCTAATGAACATGTTATATCCATGTCAGCAACGCCTTCCTTGAGATTCCCTGAGGCATCGACAAGCATATTGCAGACAGCGGAACTCTCTTCATCGTTCGCGATTAATCCATCTGTTCTCATACCGAGCATCCGAGTTTCATCCATAAGTAGTCGGCCAAAAGGATCACTACCGACTGGAGACATTAACATGGTGGCAGAAGACAAGTCAGGCGATTGGGAAGACATAATTCTATGAGCCGCTTCGCTTATATTGCGTCCGACTCCCCCTAAGGATATGGATACCTTTCCAGGCGAAGTGGAGTGTAAAACAAGGTTAGAATTCGAGTCTGGATGCACATAAGGTTGGGAAGTTATATCAACTGCCGCACAGCCGACGACAATTAGTGAGGGAGATGGCTCTGTCTACCATACCTGTATTGTTATTTCGGAGCTAGCTCGAAATCGGAATTACCTACCTTGGAGTAGACTGGTTTTTCTTGTATAGTGAGATTGGTTAGAGTGGAAAGCTTTGCAACAGGATGTAATTGCTATATACGAACGATGAGTACTTTCGATGGAACGGGAGGCTGGTTCATCCTTACAACATCTTGTGCTGTAGTATATCGTTCCAACTTTGCATATTCTACGGCAATCTGACCGCCTGTTAAAGAGTTGGTCGACAAGGAACTTCTTTCGTGCGATAGTCACTACATACCGATTAGTGCCGTGTTTCGTACAAGTGCGACATCTGTAACTTGAACTCAAACCATGAGCGAGTAAATCTGGTCGTATGCTTACTGCTAGCAAGAGACTTCCCTCCCGTTATCTCGCCGACACGTTTCAGAAGCCAAGGCGTCACTTCTTTTCCACTCTTATGGATGCCATTGTCTTCAGCCTCAGAGATGGCCCGCTCAACCGCTTGCTGGATGGCCAAGCCAGCCGCCTGGTATTCTTCTGGTATAGGAGCAGCGAATAGAACTCCGTTTGTCATCCCAAGCTTCCATTGTGTGTCTGAACATCCTACAACTTAGTGGTTGTGATTAGGTGAATTTGTTAGTACGCACGTAAAACCGTTGCAGCAGTTCCTGCATCGTTTACTCGCCAAGGTGTCTGGTAAGATTTGATATCCCCGTTATCGAATTTGTATGAAATTAGTGGAGACATACTTTAAAGCCACTTCTAGCGGTGTAGAAACCTGGGAAATCGTTAGTTTGGCCATAAGTCAGAACCGGTACTCCAAGAGTTTCCTATAGTGTTGGTCGATAGGTCAACGCTTCTTTGAACATGATTAAGCTGACTTGCCAAATATTCCAGAGTTCTGCAAGACGCTCTTAATGAGCAGATATTTAGCTTGGAAGGCTTGTTCAGACTGACCGCCCTATATCAAGAATGGACTTCACCCCCGCAGAGACTAGTCCAACAGGGCAACGAGTCAATTCCTGCAGGTCAGCAGATACATCCATAGCTTTTCGTAGTGAGCCTCAGGTTAGAAGATGGTGACGTGGAAACTACTGACTGCGCTCTCCACCACGATGAACTCCGCCTAACCTGTATAATATTATCGATGTCAGAAAAAAGGACTTCCATGCAGATAGAAAACGTTTCACCCTCCTGTAGCAAAGACCTAACTCAGAAATGTTGCATCAGCAAAGATTTCATTCCAAAAGGTTATAAATCTACCTTAATGCCTGCTAAAGCTGCGAATATCAACGTGGCGCTGCACGTTGTCGCACCGTCCCTTTTCATAGAAATTGCTGGAGCAATATCACGTCTCGAAAGCTTGGTAATATTGGGATTTGCAGTCGTGTCTGCAATGTATTCCAACTCGAGAGGTTGGAGACCGATCTTGATGCGACCGCCAATGAGCGCAATAGTGGCTGGCACACTGCCAGTAGATCTGACTATACTCTCAAGAGACTGAGCTGTCTCCAACGAAGTAGGATAGGGCATGCCATGGGATATTATGGTTGACTCGAGAGCGACAACAGGTATATTACGACCTAACGCGTCTTCGACTTCTGGATGAATGTCGATTGGAGCTTGCTTGCGGAGAGCTTGTGCTAGACTTGAATGTCGGCGCAATTTTGACGCGAATGTGCGCTTATGGAGTGAATGCAAGCCTATGGATCTGTCGAACTTGAAGAACTTCATCTTCAAGTTATTCTGAAACATTGAAAACGGATTTGGCTGGTGTCAATGGCTGCCCGAAGAAGTGCCACCTTGAGATCATTCAGCATGAAGAGGGTGAGGTCCAAGCAAAGAGGCAGAGGGTTGCAGAGGCAGCAGAAGGAAGCACAGAAGAAGGCAAGCCGAGAGGCTGAATGCAATGCCACAGCGATGGTCCTGACGCCAAATGAAGAAGAACTGAATCGGCTCACCAAGGATAAGCTGATTATTCAACTGGAGATTCACCGGGTACAAGACTCGACTATACCTTGGGGCCTGTGAGGCATAGTGAAGAAAAACCTCATAAGGATATTGATAGCTCAAATCTCTGTCGTTCTCCAGCAAAACATGCACACTGCATGTGGAAGTGGTCCCTGTGAGCAAGATGGAAGCTTGGACTCGAGCTAGGGGCACAGTCAAGATTCTCGCGATCACTAGTTTCTTTGCATTTTTAATAAAACATAGTCATTCATTACTTCATACAGTACGAATACAAATACCTACTTGCTATGTGTACATTCCGAGCTTAATACACCATATAACGCAGCTTGCTCGAAACTACTCCCTGTGTCATTTCATAGTGCGAACTTGAGGGATGCGAATATTAGGTAAGCATCACACACTTTTGGCGGAGGCTGCCCACAAACGGTGACTCCCTTCGTTGTGGACCAGACCTTCCGAATTGGGAACACAATGCCAGGTCCAAGATAAATGTTCCGAGTCGAACTCGTTACGCATATTTGGTTCCGTGCAGCTGACAAGGTCGGCTTTATCTGGTTTGCTGCATACTGTAAATCACGTTAAAGACTATCACTTTTCTCCTTTTCGAACAACTCCAGTACCCAAAGTCACTGGCATTACACGATTCAAGAGGCCTCGAGTGGAACAATCGCAACAGGTCACGGGCTTAACCCATCATATTCCACCGCTATAACCTTCTACTCCATGGATGCGACGACAGTGATTCACGAGCTTGAAGATATTTATGACTGGCCTCCTCCTGTAGCGAAGCTCGCAGACTTACTTTCTCAGCCACTCCCATCTTGGCTTGCCACCGGTCCATACCCTTTCACGTCCCCTTGTGCCTCTGATTCTATAGATCTTCTATCTGGATACCCAACTGATCATATAGTAACGACCGAGAATTATGGCGGCTCTACGTCTTTGAAAGTCGTGTTTGACTTGGTCATGACGGCCTCGTCTGATTTACGCGCCCTCAGTGGCAGCGTTGCATACGGTTGTCCTCGCCCCACCATTCCAATTTGGATCACAATGCTTAAGCATCTATTTCTCCATTGCTCGGAACACATATCGATACTGTAATGATCTTTTCTCTTTTTTTTTTTTGAAGTTTGCATGTTTCTGATAACTTGACGCGCGGATTTATTTTCAATTTTTAGTGAAGATGAATATTTTGTCAGGCCACGCGCGCCTCATTCGCAGGATGTTTCCTCCAGTGGTCCAATCACCGACGGCTTTGCATCACTTATTATAGCCCACTATGTCGATCGAGCGGATGAAGATCAAGACACTGGCTCAGCATGTCACTCCTCACAAGACAGCTGTACGAGCTCTTCTAGCGATGACAATTCTTCTCATGTACGAGACGAAAACTATGGGGATAACGGCGAAATTACGAAGAAGAGGAAGGCAAACACGAGTAGCTCAAAGAATCATTCTTTGAAGTTTCCTATCCACGCCCATCTTCTTCCCACACGCGGTCGCCATCTCTCCGCCGTCCTCCCGATTATTGCGGTTGCTGACGAATATAATATCATCCCTCTCATGTCAAGTATGCTTTACCAACGTCGTGTTTGGCACATCGACCAACCAGTTATCGGAATTATTTTCCAAGGGACTGGAACTGTTGGCCAAGTCTTATTTGGTTGGCTGGATCACGATTCTGGGACGAGCGGAGATTTGGTAAGCTCTTCTTCTCTCTTCTATGACTCGACTGAACCCTTCTCTAGCCTGGGGTCCATATCGCATGTGCCAGCCCAAACTCTCAGCCTAAGGCGTCATTAGGCATATTCGATTTAACCGACCCAGTGGCCGCCATGACATTGGCCCAATTTGTGCTTGGATTATCGTCGTATTTCAAGGACCTTATCAACGCCACATCAGTAACGTCTGTCGATGCGGATCCTTCCCTGCACTGGAGATCAGATCTCATCGATATCTCCTCTGAATCAGGAGAACAATGGAAGGAGCGAGTTTCAAGGTGGGCATGCGACGTACACGTGTCCACATGCGCGAGGTTCCTACTATTTTCAGTTTTGTAGTTGTAGGGCATGCATCCTTATTTATTTCTTTTTAAAGCAGCGATACTTCCTCTTCTCCTCCCCGTACCCCACCATTACACACTACACGTTCTCAGCCTAGCTGCTGGTCCCCAACTATGTCTTCGAGAAATCTGCATACTATTCACGAGGAAGGACACGATGAACCCAGAGGCTCCAAATCTCTTCGCAGCAGTGTCAAACATGATGGTACTCAAAGTGACCACAAAGTGAGCAGGTGAGCATGGCAAGTTTTGAGCGTAGTGATGGAAATGATATAGTAAATTGATATTCAGCGATAAAAGCTTTTCTGCAAGTCAATCTTCCGTTGCAAAGCAATCTGTAAGCAAAAAGTCGACAAAAATTTTATCGAAGTGAGAGCATATACATCATGTGTTGAATCGTGACTTACAATATTTAGAGATAGAAGCCCCGCCGAAAATCAGCTTTCTGTCGACAAGTACTCCGCAAGCAAAAAGTCGAAAACAAATGTATCAAACTCTAGGTGAGAGCATATATATTAAATGTGTTCAATCATGACTGACAGCTGGGCTAGTTTTGCGATGAAGAGTGAGAATGGCTTAGATGAAGAATTATCGATCACGAATTGGCTTTTTGATAGAAGAGCATTCACGATCGGTAGAATCTTGTTAGCAGATCTTGCTCAAGACCCTGAATCGGAACACAAAGATATTAACGAAAAAATAAAATTTTACGACGAAACGACTAAATTTTGCTGGCCAAGCAGCTGGAAAACATTGGTTAGTTTCCTCGACCTAAGTGCCACGTCTTATATACTCACGTCAAGGCAGAGTGACCTACCTGGATCAGACCTTAGCATTGAAGGGCATCGTAGAATGCTTTTTCAAAATTATAATAACTATGTCCAGGGTGGCAACGAGGTTCCAAACCTGGAGACCAAAATCGTGGAACTCCTCTGCAGTCGGTTCTCCTCTATGTTGTCATCTTCCGATGGTGCATATACTCGAGCTCTTGCAGCGGCGAAACGTAATTCTAATGAAGCTGAACGCCGCCATGATTGGGACAATCTGTTACTCAAATTTTTCACGACCTCGAAGTACACTGGTAGCACAAACCGTGATGTGTTGTAAGTACTAGGCAACGCGCCCTAAAGCATATCTAACCGTTTACTTAGGCTGGAACGTTTTTTAAATGCACCTCGAAATATAGCCCTTGACGCGATGAGGACTTCTGCTGCTGATCACGTGCGAGAGCGCTCTGCGCTAGCAAGTCAATATGCATTACATTGCAGCTTGGCAGACTTCAGCGCTCAAGGGCAAAATGAAGACGTCGTTTCTCAAGCTCTTCAGGCGCGTAACCAGTCTGCTTCATTTGTCGAGCAAGTCAAGGGTGATATAGAGGCCCGCTTGCTCGATGCCCTCGAACGTCGCACCAACCAAGAACCAACACGTGGAGTATGCGATGCAATTCTAGTCGTACCCCTTGAAGGCGTCTGCGCTGAAATCGTTAAAATCCTTGGCAAGTCCGACGGCAGGAAGTTCGTGAAAAATCTTGCTTTGATAGCACATCCTGGTGCGGAAAAGTCGGCATCTGGGACTGGGAAGGACGACAGAGGTGAGAAAAAATAGCTGAGTCGTAGAGCTCCTGCTAAACTTGAATTGAAATCAGCAAACTCGGACTCAGCTCGACATCTGACCGTTGAGCCTCAGCCGTCGTCGGTCACGGACAACAGCAAATCAACTTCCTATCCCTCCTTGCACAATGTCTTCACGGCAACTGTTCCGAGACCACCCTCCGAGTCCTCGGAAACCCTGTCGAAAGATGTCGTTCAGCTTCAGGCAGCCCAGGACGGGGAAATAGACAATGATTTATTATTGCCAGTCCTTACCGCGGAGTACAAGAAAAAAGATGTTACTACGACATTCAAGGCTTTGAACCAGTCTCGAATGTATACGGTTTCAGCACTGTATTTTCTGAGATCCTTGGGGATCGTTGATTTTCCGCTTTTTGGCCTAGTCACCTCTGGGTCTGAAGGAGCAGTATCAATGGCTTGGTACTCGTCCAAGCAACAAGTAAGTATGTTCATTGATATGCTCATTGACATCTTACCATCCCTCACCATAGAAAATTTTTTTAATGGAGCGGAACCTCCAGTTATATGACATATCAGACCCGCTCCAAGTTTACGAGTTTTCTGTAGTTCTTCTTCGCATTGCTGAACATGGTCAGAAGCTCAAAGTGAAGCTGCAAGAAATGCTGAGCAAAATAGATGAGCGAAGCAAAATTAAAACATTCAAGCACTGGTCTAATTTGGCTCAGCCAAAAGAACTGTAGTATATCTCAAACCATATCTATAGGCTTGCATAGCATCACTGTCACATTTGTACATACTCTTGTATTTGTGGACATGTCTGAACACCTGCATAAAATGTCAGAAAATATTAAATATTATTTAGATGCCTTGCCAGCCACTGAAATGCCTAAATATCAGTCATTGCTTGAAATAGTGTTACAATGAAAGAGTTGCTATGTAAAGGCCATTACAATCTCAGTTTGCAATGCCGATTTCCAGACCAAACACCATCTAGCATCCGGCTGTAGGATACGGGTAGAGGGAGTGTGAATACTGTAACAGAGGGGAGGTGAGATAAGAGACCAGCAAGAAATGAAGACTCAATAGAGGTCAATGCATTTTCTACAGATTGCAACAATTCCCCATTCAATACAACCAGGTGTACTATGGACAGAAATATGAGCATGAGCTGCACACTTCTGCCTATCCTAAGAAAGTTCAAGCTATATTGAATTGGCCAGAAAATACTCACATTAAAGGAGTTAGGGCCTTCCTTGGCTTAGGCAACTTCTACCAAAGGTTTGTTGAAAACTTTGCAAAGATGATGAGATTGTTGAACGATCTCACAAAAAAGGATGTTGTTTGGCACTCAAGAAGCTTTTGATAATCTTAAACAGGCATTTACAACAGCACCCATATTAGCATTTCCCGGATTAGATACAGAGTTCTGGCTAGAAACTGACTCTTCTGATTTTGCTGGGGCTGTTTTGTCAATCAAATGCCCTAATGACCTTTGGAGGCCTTGTGCCTATTTATTGCATAGTTTGTTGCCTACAGAGCACAACTATCAAATATATGACAAGGAGATGCTAGCCATTATTAGAGCACTAAAGCACTGGCAGCATTATTTAGAAGATGCTAGGCACCATTTTGAAATCTGGAGTAATTTATAATGGCTTGGAACTTGAACCAAAAACCCAATGTGGTGGAGCTGGAACTCCCAAAATGAATGAGAGTAGTACCCACGGTCAATATTAGCCGTGTGAAACCCTACAAAGGGCCGCTGCCAGGACAGAGTGTAGACTGGCCCGGACTGGTTGTGTTCACCCAGGAAGGTGAAGAAGAAATTAAAGTTGAACGGGTGGTGAATGGACACTTGAAGCATGGACAATTAGGGTTCCTAGTCTAATGGAAAGGCTATACAAGGACAGAATGTGGGAACCAGAAGCCCATCTGGACAATTCCCAGGATGCTGTTTCAGAATTTTATTCTAAGAATCCCTTGGCTCCTAGGAAGCCTAGAAGCATAGTTTTCACACACTGTGCCATACAGTACTTTCTATTCTGTTCAAACTCCACTTTCTCGTGCTGCACTGCTTTTCTTTATTCTTAGCTACAAGCCTCTCACGCAGTGGAGCTGTTCACACAGACTGCACCCTATAATATGGTAAGGTTCCTGTAGCATGATGAGTGTCCAGTTAATTAGTCCAGGATTGCTTAGTAAATCTTCTTGTGAGGTGGGTGATTTATTAATGTTTTGTTGCCATATTCTGATGTTTGTGGTTTTGGCTTTGTTGTGGTTATTCATCCCAGCCTATTGTGTGAGGAATCAATTTTTCTCATCGCATTCCCGTCATGTTGTGGTTAACAGACTCAATCCCTGTCACTCCTCTTGCCCTTGGACTAGAGATCACAGCAGGTGTCTTATTACTTTTATCCTTTTTCTTCTTATTCTCTATTCACACTCACATCCTATCGTACTTACAACAAAGGAGATTCGTTATAAACCCTTGAGAAGATATCCAAATGATATAGCAACGATCCAGTGCTATGTCTGGGAATACTTTGGAGAGATATTGATAAGCGAAGAAGGTTTTGAGTCAGCGCCTTCTCATGGGCTTACTGATACAGCCAATTGCACACCCATTACCAATATGTTTTCTCATACAATTAGTAAATACAATAGATCGGACCACTTTCTCTTTCTTTTCTTATTGGTTAGCTAGCTGGTCAGACTACTTTCTTAGTTTTCCCTTTCTCAGTCTGACCATGGCCGTTCACTATATAAAGAAGTACATACTCGATGTATTATTCTCTAGTTCAATATTAGTTTGGATTTGCGCTTATACCGATACTCTTCAACTCTCATACCCTACTTCATCGCCTTGCACCAAGGACTTGACCAGGCATTGTGTTTTGTTATATAGCTTTGTATTTGTTGCCTGACATATTGGAGGGAGTGCTGGATCTGCAGCATATGGGTCGGGGTTATTGTGTGGATTATGGTGGTACGGCACAGAAAGTAGGCATTTTCTATACTTGGTAAGCACTAGCTTTTTGAATATCCCATAAATCAATCAGCTGATCAGTGATTTATTAGGCATGATGTCTCAGCCCGCGTAAATGGTGTTTCAGGCAATGTATACAAGAGATACAGATTATACCAGGAAGCCTTTGTGAAATATAGACAAAGTTATACTCTGAGCTAGCTTTGTCCTGTGCCCCACCCTGGAGGGCCATTCTAGCCTAGGATTCCATCTCCACCATGCTCTAACTCAAACTCATTAAGCTCTGAATTATGGGACCAGGTTAGAGATTTTTTTGTAGGATTTAGCCAAGTTGTACTGGATTAAACACGTTATATACACAGAAGCTGGAAATAACTTTAAAACCATGTGCTCAGATATATCAGGCCAAATTCAGACAATATTGTTTTGTGCATGTAATATATTCAATTTGATTGCGTACCGTACACCAAGGCTCTACTCTACATCAGATAGTCCTAAGCGGGACCTATATTCTGCAATTTACACTTCTTTTCTGGCTAA